TATGGGAAAACCACCAACCACTTAGAAGATTTAATGACCTCGAGAACTTAAAGCTCCTCTAGCAAGGAATTTCAGTTTCTTGAGACAAAGAATGATACCTTATAAGGACAATATAATTTATGGATCATGTGTTTCCTGCTCTGGTCAGTAAGTATTTGATGACTACATGTTGAGTAAATGCCTTCTTATCTTTAGAGTCAATCATAACGGATCTCCTACTTGTTAATTGTCATGTACAACCAGAATTAAGCTTTATTTTTATGATGAGTATTTTTTTATGCCAATTCTCCAGAAATCCATGTGGTCCACACAGTTGTCATTTTAACGTCAATGTTCTATTTCATTGTATGGCTCTGCTATAGAACGCTTAGCCACCTCTCTCAGGTAGCTGGGATTAGAGCTTCTATTCACAAAGAATTCTAATTTATCAGTGAAGCCAATGGAGCAGGCTCTCCAGGGGTCTACTTGCATAAGGGTTCTAAGGAATACTATAAAAGGAAGGGGGGAACCTCCTAAAATGAGTTAAACCATGAAAAATCTCATTAAAAGAAAAATATGTCGAAAAAGGCATTTCCCATATACTGTCCTACAGCATAACAAATATCTGGCGGTGGCATCATGTTTCCTTCTTATAAACTAAAATACTCTAATTCTTATGTTAAGATAAACACAAACACAGAAACAACTGCATAGTTAAAAACTGACCACATTAGGTGAACTTCTCAGGTTTCCTAATTCATTCCTAAAAGGTCTGATTCAAGGAGTATCTCACACATGATCACTTCAGGAAAAATGACTTGACTAAAATAACAGTATCACAAAATGAGAAATAAACTAGAATAATCTCCCAATATACAAAAAAGATTGTACAGTTCAAAGTGATACCAAGATCTACTTAGGAGGCAGTCCTATAGCACTGACTCAAAGGACAGCAGAACTCCAAGACTCTGAGATATACTATATATCAAAGGGAAAAAAAAATATCAGGAGGCTATTATCTATGTCATATATCTGAGGTTGTGCAAATTTCAAGAAAAAGCTTTCAGTTACTCAGATCTTGCACCTTCAGGGAAATTCTACAATAAACCAGGATCTCTTTTTTATTCTTTAAAGATTTTATTTATTTACTTGACAGAGATCACAAGCAGGCAGAGAGGCAGGCAGAGAGAGAGAGAGAGAGAGAGAGAGAAGGAAGCAGGCTCCCTGCTGAGCAAAGAGCCCCAAAGCGGAGCCATGGATCCCAGGGCCCTGGGATCATGACCTGAGCCAAAGGCAGAGGCTTTAACCCACTGAGCCACTCAGGCGCCCCTAAACTAGGTTTTTTAACAAAAAACAAATATAAAGTCAACTTTGGTGACATAAAATTTTAAATGTTTCTTGAAAATTGCCTTGAACCTAGAACTTGCTTTGTATATATATTAATTATAAATGTTTTCTTTTTTACTTAAAAGTTAAAAGCAAAAATCGGGGCACCTGGGTGGCTCAGTGGGTTAAAGCCTCTGCCTTCGGCTCAGGTCATCATCTCAGGGTCCTGGGATCAAGCCCCAAATCAGGCTCTCTGCTCAGCAGGGAGCCTGCTTCACTCTCTCTCTGAGCCTGCCTCTCTACCTACTTGTGATCTGTCTGTCAAATAAATAAATAAAATCTTTAAAAAAAAAAAAGTTAAAAGCAAAACTACCTTGAAATTTAAAAGACTGCATTCTCCTTTACAGCAAAAACACAAAGATACAAATTCAAGTAATTTGCTGGCACCCAAGACAAAATTAGTATGGATTTAAGCTCTTACCATGTAATTTGTTTTATAGTGATTCACCATAAGTAAGCTTTAAAACTCAATGTCTTTAGAATCTAGCCTTAAAAAAAAAAAAAAAAAAATCTAGGTCTGCATCATAATTACTACCTTAAAAGAGAAAATTGGAAAAGGTTTCATACCCAATTCCCCTTGTTATTTTTTCACAATGATAGAAAATTATCTTTGTCAGCCTCAGTTATGGGTTTTTTTTTTAAGTTTACTGTAAGTGTCAGCCCTTTGAAATTTATACTGCATTTCCTCACTGACACAACGTTATAAATGGTAGTAAAGATCCTACTAAAACCTATTCAACTTCTACTGTAACTAATGTGTGGGTGTTACTTACTGAGTCCTCAAATTCCTCTTCATTAACAGAAAATGTTTCAGTGCATGTTTTAAACATCCTGTATTGCAAAAATTTAGTCAGCTGATTTTGGAGGAACATTCCCCAGGAGAAATATGAGTTGACTCATTGCTAACTATTACAAAAGCCTCTCAGCTGGTCTCTCCCAGCCTCCAGTCTCTCCCTCCTGTGTTCTATCTTCCCCTGCTTTGCCAGTTACCTTAATCGCAAATCTAGTTATGTCGAATGGAATCTGAAAAACCTTCTTGCCCAAAGAACTTCCTACAGGGTAAAGTCCAAACGTCTTATCACGGAATAGAAGGCTGTACCAATGGGTACCAATCTACCTTAGTTTCTTCCTTGCCTCCCTTTCCTGTAGACCACCTGCAGACATTCTCTTCATTCCCTAACAAGTCATGTTCTTTTTATCCTTCCATACTCTCACAAAAACTCTTTCTTCTCCTTAGAACACATTCATATCCTTTGACTTGGAACATTCCCTGATGTAGATGAGATCAAATACCACTTATACTATAAACCTCCCCCAAGGTTTTATACATCTCCCATAAAGACTTTAGCCCATTTGGTCACCCTTTGCCCCTCCATAAGCATTAAGCATGGTGTCTTACAGGAGCTCCATAAATGTTGACTAAATTTTGAAAGCATGACCACGCTTAAATGAAGGATTGGCCATAAACTGTTAAAGCCATGGTTAAGACCCATAAGGCTATTCTAGGTACGTGTGGGTGGCTCAATCTGTTAAGCATCTGACTTCTGCTCAGGTGCCCTGGGATCCGGCCCTGAGTCAGACTCCCCGCTCTGCATGGAGTCTGCTTCTCCCTCTCTCTCTGCCCACTCCCCATGCTCCCTCATGCTCTCTCTCAAATAAATAAAATCTTAAAATTTTTTTAAAAAGCATAAAGATCTTCCATTCATCTATATGCAAGTATCCACTAATACATACATTAACATTAAAAATATAGTCTTATTAATATTTGCAAACACAAACAATCATGGATTACTAAAACTCCAAATGTATATACTATACTTCACCTTACAGACTGGTAAATGTTAACCATCTATGAAAAGCACAGCAAAAACAGTGTTAACCAGAAAAGATATGGTGTCTTCCCATTCAATGAAGTTTCAATATTTAGAGCTTCAGAATTCCAAAGAGGCAAATTTACTTAATTGCAAAAAAAAAAAAAAAAAAAAAGCAATTCCTGAAGGTCAGCAATCCTACAGTGAAATCTTCCATCATCACCTTTGAGCAACTCTCAAGGCAACCTTCAGTAAAAACTCTCATTCTCCATCATACTCAAAGGCTAATAAAGAAAATAAGAGCCATGCAAACAATAATTTCAGCCAAAACAAACGAAGCCGTTTCCAGAAAGAAGCTAGAGTATTAGCAATTTGTTACCACTACGTTTCGGCATCTCCAGAATAAATACCTTACATATTCAAGAGAAGTTTCACGATTCAAAAGCAATCTCACATAAACGATTTAATTCTTACCACAATCCGGTGCTTAAGCAGAGCAGGGATTATTTTTACGGATTTAAGACATTACGAACCCAGTAAAAATGCAGATAGAAGACTGTTTGGCTATAGAAACATAGCACTTCGCTTCCAAAAATAAGTACTCTTTACTATAACAACAAAATGGCCCAAGACAAATGAGCAACCCCCCTTTATTCCATCACTAAATCTAGTTCGGTGGACATACTAGAAACTCCGCTCTTAAAATGAACGTCAAAATTTCAAATTATGATAATCTGGAGCGAAACTTCCATCTCCCGGTCTCTTTCCAAGTGACATTAACTCACAAGCAAAACCAAGCTCCATTTCTCAAAGCAGTTTAAACAAGAACACACCCTCGGCGTGCACTCAGACTCCAAGGCTTTTCAGCCGACTCCCTGAGGGCAGAGTCGGTCCCAGAGAAGTCCCAAGAGAGTCTGGGGGACCCAGTTATGAGCGAGATGGGGGTGGGGCGCACTGCAAAAGGCTCTGCCAAGCCGGAGACGGAGGAAAAGGGACCAGCCAGAACACTGCCAAGAAGGGTTTGGGGCGCCAGACCCCGAGCCTCGGGTCCGAGCACTCTCCACACACAGCTGGAGCGGCTCCGCCTCCCGACCCCAGGTCCAGTCCCCAGCCAGGCCCCTCCGCTCCCAGGCACCACGGGGTAACTCCGAGCGTCCCAACCCTAGGAAACAAATCTCGGAGGTCCCTGCGGGGCGGACACCCACCTGGCCGAGCCGCACCGAGAACTGGGCCCACCAAGTCAAACAGCAGCAGCCACTGGAGCCGGAGGACCCGAAAGGGCGAGCCTGCGCCCGATCCCATCGCGGCAGATTCCGCAGGTTCCACTCAACACTGGGTCGCCTCTGCCTCCGCCTGCTCCATCATTTCCCAGCCCTGCCGGGGCCCCAGAGCTGGCCGGGATGCGCGCGCCCGGGACGAACACGCGCTCGGCACTGACGCAACTCGGCTCTTGTCCGAGCTCGCTCCCGACATCGCGCTCCCTACGCTGACGTAGAGAAAAATCCAGTCGCCGTAGGGAGAAGGGATTTCTGTCTCGGCTGCTAAAACCTTGACTAGTCGGCCCCGCCCCTTCACACTCGCTGCCCCGCCTACTGCCCGTCACGCCCCGCCCGCTCTGCTCCTAGGCCCGCCTACTTTGGGCGTAGAAGAACCTGATTGGAGGAAGCACTAGGAGGAAAAGAAGGCGGAGAGCGAGCCCCAGAAGCGGAATTGAGCAGCAGAAATGAAGGGCAGTCCCGCCCCCCTGCACAGCCTTTTCTGATTGGCTTGTGGGCGTTGGGCGGAGCGTCGAGCCGCGCGCCCATTGGCTATGTTGTGGCGAGGAGTCCGGCTCCGCGGAAAGGCCTAACCCGGCAGGGCTTGCTTGGGTCGAATGTATAGGCTCGGCTTTGTGGTTGAGTCCGGGTCTCCGCCACTGGGCGCGGGAAGATGGTGCTGGGTGGTTGCCCGGTGAGTTACTTACTTCTGTGCGGCCAAGCGGCTTTGCTGCTGGGGAATCTACTTCTGCTGCACTGTGTCTCTCGGAGCCACTCGCACAACGCTACGGCCGAACCCGAGCTCACATCCGCTGGCGCCGCCCACCCAGAGGGCTCTGCCGGTGCTCCGAGCTGGGAATATGGCGACCCCCAGTCTCCAGTCATCCTTTGCTCTTACCTGTAAGCTACCCAGACGTCGAGGCAGAGATGGAGATGGGGCCAAGGATATATGGGTGTTGGGGTGGGGGAAGGGAGGCTGCTTTTTTTTCCCCAGACCCTCTCCACCAGAGGACCTGTCAACATGCGGGAGGTAAATTTCATGCAGGTTTCTCACTCCTCTCACCCATCAGGGGGAAACCTTGTGTGTCGGTGGCAGATCCTTTGGGATCCCGAAAGAGAACTAGGGAGGAGTGACATCATATAGTCTCCGGAAGAAGGGTACGAGGTTGTGCCTTCTCTGTCCTGCTCCCTTTAACGAAGGAGAATCCATTGTAGGTGTTCGTTATGAGGCACAAATAGAGGAAATAACTTGTCCTTGCCACAAGGCACTTTCTTGTAGAAAAGCAATATCCTAACCGTTGCAGAACCAAGTCATTTTTAACATCTCTTTTTAGTCCATGAGAAAAGGCGTTTGGGAAATGCAGAGAGAACTGGGAATCCTTTGGCTTCAGTTTTGTTCCCATTGCCTTGTGGCTCCTTGCCTAGGAAAGGGAGAAAGCCATGGGAGAAGTAGAATCCACGTAGAAATAGGACCAGAAACTCTCCCCTTCCCCAATAAAAGGATCATTTTGGATGGCTGTCTATTTGACCTGCTGTTCTTCAGTCTGACAGCATCTCTTGCCTTGGGGATCAGTCAGAATTAAACCCTAGAAAACTTGAAGAAGTGTCTCTTGCCTGTTTTGATTATATACACTTAAACAGCCATTTGCAAAAACCATGTGAGAATGACAGTCATGATCTTACCGGTGATTTACAGACCTGATGAATTTATAGAATGTGACGACCCAGTGGACCATGTTGGAAATGCAACTGCATCCCAGGAACTCGGTTATGGTTGTCTCAAGGTGGGTTTTCATTTTGTTTTATAAGCAAACTCTTCCATAGAGAAATAGTACTGGCCAAATGCTGTCACAACAAAGTATCAGGGGTATGAAGTTACCTTTCTATAGACTTCATTAGAATGACTTCCTGGAAATATCCGGCCTGGCCAGCGTCAGTGACCGATCAAGCCATTTCATTTCCTCAGGAAGGAGTATCCGTGCCAAAACTGCCCAGGTGCACAGACCAACCTGTCTTTGGTTCTTTGGGCTGATATTGACTGATTTAAAGCTATTGTGTCACCTCCTCATTATCCTTCAAGTATGCACTTTCCTAAAAGAACAAAAGAAAGGCTTATGCAAATTTTTTCTTTTCTTGCTTATGCACTTTCTAAAACCAATAATGGACTAAGCTGCATCTTTGTTACACATGCATTTCAGGCAAAGCTCCTTTTGCCGATGATCTTTCTTTTCATAAGGCAAGCATTTCCCACCATGTCCTTAAAAAATAGATGGGGTCTATCAGTATCTGCCTCTGTAGAAGGTTGTAGTATTCAAGGAGAAGCCTTAGGTAACAACGGCCTCTTGGGATGGAAGAAAGCCATTCAGTTCCATTAATAACATCCTAGTTAGTCTCCCCAAAACCAGTGAAGTTCATGTACTTCCCCATCATGCTGCATAATGCAAGTCAAGATTCAATCAGGTATTAAGAGAGTTATGGGAAAACATGGTTTGTACTAAATCAGAGACAGAAATAAACCTGAAAGTAATAAGACCAAAAGGCAACTCTTAATGCAGTCATGTGTAAAGAAACGTTTTCAATAAAATGAGATCTTGATCTGTTGATAATTATCAATGAAGGTTTTGAAGGTTTGAGTAGCATTGTATAGAGATCACTTTTGCCCATTTTATTTTTTTTCTTTTAAGATTTATTTATTCATTTGAGAGAAAGAGCAAAGAGGGGAAAGAGGGACAGAGGGAGAGAATCTTGAGGAGACTTGTGCTGAGTGCGGAGCCTGGATGCAGAGCTCAATCCCATGACCCCAAGATCATGACCTGAGCCGAAATCAAGAGTCAGATGCTCAACCAAATGAGCCACCCAGGTGCCCCTGCTTTTACCTATTATAATTAAAAACTGAGCTGTTCCTGTCAGGCCACTCAAGCTGCCACTTTCCCCAGAAGTCCTAGAGGACCAGTACTCAGGCACCTAAATCCCAGGGGAAGTATGATTTCCAGCTCCCTTCCCTTTAAGGAATGCACCAATGAAAACAGTAGTGAACAACTTAATAAGGTGCCAGTGGAGAATGTACAGCTGTGCTTTCTCTGCTAGAATTCAATTACATAAATGGTAAGAGGTCCTATTCTGAAATTTTTTGCTGAAATTTAAACTTACACAAAAACGTACTACAGATATCTGATAATCACACATTCAAAAAAAAGTTCTGAGTCAGATGATACTCTGAGGTCTTTTCCTAATTATGTTCATTTACAATATATATAGAACAAACTTCTAATACACATTGATTTTTTAAATACCCATTCCCAAATGCTCAATTATGTGCTCTTTCCTGTAAATATAGGATGACTAAAATATTGTGTTCATCTATTCTAAGTGGTGTTTAATGAAACTGATTTTAATTTTTTTACCATATTAAAGAAGCTAGTTACAAGAAAAAAAAAAGTTCATTTAAAACAACATACAGTTAGAGTGGAATAATTTAAAATCACTTGAATTACTAAATTCCTTGCTCTTGAACACAGCCTTACCCCAACTTTGTTAGTATAATTATTGTCCTGAGTCACCTCTTATTAATGAATATAAAGATCTATTTTGTGTAACTTCTTTGCTAAGTTTGGGTTGTTTTGTTTTGGTTTGGTCTTTATGCCACAGTTCGGTGGACAGGCCTACAGTGACGTGGAACACACTTCTGTCCAGTGCCGGGCCCTCGATGGGATTGAGTGTGCCAGTCCTAGGACCTTCCTGCGGGAGAATAAACCTTGTATAAAGTAAGTGTTACTTTGAATGGGGTAGTTGGTACTTGGATAGAGGTAGAGCTGTTTTCCTTGTCATCTCATGATATGACTTTTTTCTTTTATCTTAAGTGTTAAAGGGGCAACGTGATTACCACTGTGCATAATCCATTGGCAGGAGTGATGTGGTTACAAACAGAAAGGACACTGGACTTATGAGACCAGAGGCCATAAGTTCTAAATGTCTCTTTCATCAACAAGCTAAGTGCCGGCAGAAGACCAGAGACTTTGTCCCTCACCTACAAAATAAAGGAGCTAGACCAGGTCATCTAGCTCCAAAATTCCTATGGTAGACATAAGTCCTATAAAAATAGCCTTAATATTTGAGGAATGAAGGTTTTATTCTTTCTTTATTTATTTCTTTAAAGATTTTATTTATTTGTCAGAGAGAAAGAGAGTGAGAGCACAGGCAGAGGGAGAAGCAGACTCCTTGCTGAGCAGGGAGCCAAATGTGGGGGTCAATCCCAGGACCCTGGGATCAAGACCAGAGCTGAAGGCAGACGCTTAACCAACTCAGCCACCCAGGCGTCCCAGAGAAATAAAGGTTTTATTATGACAAGTGTGGATCTCTCTCCTGAAAAATAAGTTTATCTTAAAGAATTAGGGTAATTTCTGTAAATTTTGCTGGAAGGCACAGAATGTATTTATATCAGTTGCTAATGGAGTCCATGGTGTTTGATGACGATATTAGAGCAATTGTAATTGAGTGTCATCGCAGTACATAAGACCCAAGTCCTTACTGAAGAAACCTCATTTTTAGTTGCCACAAAACAGCAGAAGGGTATACAGAGATCAGTGCTCATCTGAGGAAAGACAATGACATTTCCGTAGAGAACTGCATTCAGAGGTGCAGCCTTAGGAAAGGTGCCTGAGTCAGGGAGGGCTGCAGGCCCAGATTCTACTCCTCCCAGGATGCCTACAGAGCACATGTGCTTGATTATCTCTTGTCCAGTCCAGTCAGTATTTGTTCCTTTATGCCCTAGGTAGTACTCTTTTGAGAGCCTAGGCCAACTAGAGATTTTCTTTTTGGGGAGAATGAGAGGCCACAGAGCGACTGCTACATCATCCTTTCGCTTACATGAAATTCATTCGTCCTTAAGTGTTTTAATTTTCATGTGGTAAACATCTTCCTCTTCATTCCTTCTGTCTAGGTACACGGGACACTACTTCATAACCACTTTACTCTACTCGTTCTTCCTGGGATGTTTCGGAGTGGACCGGTTCTGTCTGGGACACACTGGCACCGCAGTGGGGAAGCTATTGACACTTGGAGGACTTGGGATTTGGTGGTTTGTTGACCTTATTTTGCTCATTACCGGAGGGCTGATGCCAAGTGATGGCAGTAATTGGTGCACTGTCTACTGAGAAGGGCTGTGGTCGTGGCCCAGAGAGGCGCGTCTTCTGAATTCATCTCTACAGGCGCAAAACTCTTCCTTGATAACAGACCTGACCATTACTCTCCTTCTTCAGAGGGAATGGGTTTGGTTAGGAAGGTTTCTTTGGACTCTGGGTTTTCAACCCAAATTTTATCTTGCAGACTAGCAATGACAAGCAAACAGTGTTTGGGAATCAAGTGTGTACCTTTCCTCACATATAACATATAAAGGATAGTGACTAACTTATAAATTGCAGGGGTTTCCATACTGTATTTCTATACATTGCTGTATCTTCAGTACATTGGAGCAAGTGGACCCGACAAGATGAGCAAAGTGAATATTTTTAGGTGCCTTTTGTGACCCTGAATCTTCATGCAGAGGAGAGGTGAAGCTGAACCAGTGAAGATCTTCAGCAGAAGTCAAATGGCCATGGATTTTAATACTCACTGAAATTCTGACTTTCTGAATTTAAGTTGTGGAATAAATTTTGCCAACCTGGAATGCTGTTTGGTATTTTCAGTAAGTAGAGTGAGACTCAAAATTCTGTATGTTTTGCTAAAAGCCAGGCATTTGAAATGAACCACTCTACTAATAAATCCTATTGTTACATCATTATTATGCTCCAGAGGCAGTATATGCAGTACAGTAATTTCTTCATTTCAGTTATATTTTGAAAGCCCAACAATAATCAGGTATGTCTGGGGTAAGCTCTCCTCTTGGCTATCCTATCTAAAAATTAGTTATATACAAGTTCAGAGAGCCTATGTTGTAGGCTGGTAAAAAATATCTCCTACAACTAAAATAAAATTATTCTTCACAATTATGTTAGGTAAGGTGAAAAGCGTCATACCTTTGAGGCAAAAAAAAAAAAAAAAAAAAAAACCATTCTTACTTAAAGGACAGAATTACCAAGAATTGGGTGGAGTTAAGACGTGATTTATGGGGGCAAAAAAGAACACATTCCGTCAAAATAAGCATGGTACCAGAAGTTCTCACTGTGGGCTACCAGACTCAATTGTCGGAAAGAAGAGACAGCCAAGCTTTTGCATTCCCAAATCACTGGCAATAAAAGGAAATGTTCTAAATTGTAAGTTCTGAGAAACCTAGTTATCATCCTTTGCAATTTAAGTTGAAAAGAACTCTTAAATATGAAGTAAAAGGAGGACTTTACAGACAGGTCGAACAAAGAGCCCAATATTCAGGATAAATTCTAGAAACGATCAAGGTAGAACTACTCAAAACTTGGTCTCCTAATAGTTGACATAAGAACCAAGAATCACAGTTAAATTAACACTGGATATGCTCTATCATTATGAAGCAGCTTTCCTGAAAGCTTCAGCTTTATTATCCCTGATTAATATAATTACTGTTCTTATATTATTAAGTGGTTGACAAATGTGTAAAAATTAAAACAGATTATTCTGTCTTGAAAATTCTGTACCACATTGACCTAAACCTTGTTTGTAACAGTAATAATTGGTAGATTCTTATCCATAATGTCTGTATATAAGTATATAGTATTTTTTAAATTGTTGGAGGTCATGAAAAAACCAGACCCCCTCCCCAGGAAAAAATGCACATAAACAAAATTTTGCATAGAATCTAAGATCCCATATTTAAAAACAAAAACAAAAATAAAATACTGACTTGTAAGAGAAATCTGGAAAACAAATTAAAATCTTACCAAAAAAAATAAGATACTGCTCTAAGCCATCCTGCCTCATCTCGCACTTTTCAAAAAAATCTTCAGAATATTCACAAACCCCATCAAAAGCTATTTTCTTTAAAAACACCAACACTTTGGCAGCCTTCAGGCTGAAAATCCCTAATGTTGCCAGGAGGATGAGCGTGGGTAAAAAGGTCATAGTCTGTAAGTTATTGAAGGATCTGTCCTATAAAAGAAGCCCTCTCCTACTCAGAAAGCTTTTGGAGACCACTGCCAGGGTGATCATGAGAACCTAGTGTTTCTCTGTGACAATCTGCAGTTGTCAGTATGAATCTGATTTACAAATAATGCTCATCCTCCACATCTACAGACCCTGGTCAAATGTGGTACAACCTGGAAAACTAATTGAATAAAGGCAGTGTTAGGAAAAATTCAATTTCCTTTGCACTCTGGATTCAGGTTGTTTCTTCATATTTGGTAGGTCTGTTCGTGTGTGTACATGTATGTGTGTGTACACACACATTTGTGTTATATCCAGTTTGTGGCTACAGAGAAGTTTTAAAATCCACAAGTGTCCTTCTGTCAAGGTTAAATTAGAAACTGCTTGCTTTTCAGTTGTTTCCTGTGTTGAAATAAAATGTTATCAGCTTCCCAGACTTCCTGGCACCATGTCCTTCACTTGCTTTAGTGGGGCTTCTTAGCAACATTAGAGCACCCCAATCTAAAGGTCCCTAAGTGTGCGTGTGTGTGTGTGTCTGTATATTTTAAAGCCTTCATTTTTCTTAAAAAAGAGACCCTAAAACTTGTTAACTTTGGCACATCTCCAGTACAAACCAGATAATATAGCTGTGGTTTTGTTAGATGATTTCTCTTTAAAGCAAGATACTTAATTGATTATTTCAGGTGTGACTGTCAGGAGCAAAGTTTGACTTCCTCGACGAACCATGATGGAAAGGGAATCATTGTCCTTAACAGCTTCAGTAACATCAGTTGTGGTGGTAACAGGTTGCCCATTTATGCTGACAATTACATCATGGTCTCTCAACCCAGAGCTGGGAGAGGAAGAAAAAAAGGACCATGAAACTAAGTTTTACTTGTCCCCATTTAGAATTTAATGCCTGTCTTTTATAGCACTATCTTGCTGTCATTTTTTTAATAATTTTATTTATTTATTATTTATTTATTTTTCCCCATACAGTTGTACTCTGATCAGTTTGGTTTTGACAGCCCACTTACTTGCCCCATCTCCACCCACAACATGATAGCTCTGCTTCCAGTTAAGTCAAAAACCAGTCATGCTTTCAAGTCTAAATATTCAAGGTTCTGGTTCTAGGCTCCTTTTCCCCAAAGTTGTGATTATATTCTGTCTCCAATATATTTGCTTCAGATAGAATATATATTCTAGAAACAAAAAACACCTCCAAACATGAAACACTTCAAAAAATATATAGCCATGCTGATGATTTCTCTTAAGGTCAGTAATGGGGGCGCCTGGGTGGCTCAGTGGTTAAAGCCTCTGCATTCCGCTCAGGTCATGATCCCCGGGTCCTGGGATCAAGCCCTGCATCACTCAGGTCATGATCCCCAGGTCCTGGGATCAAGCCCTGCATCGGGCTTCTGCTCATCAGGGAGCCTGCTTCCTCCTCTCTCTCTGCCTGCCTCTCTGCCTACTTGTGATCTCTGTCTGTCAAATAAATAAATAAAATCTTAAAAAAAAATTGTTTAAAGTCAGTAATGGGCTGGAAGAGGGACAGCAAATTAAATGATTCCAAGTGACTTCAAGAAAGCAGTAGTCCCACATTTCAATGTTCATCCAAATCACCTGGAGATCTTGTTTAAAATGCAGATTCTGATTTAGTGGTAGGGCCTGTCATTCTGCATATTTTTCTTTATTCTTTTTTTTTTAAGACTCATTTATTTATTTGACAAACAGCGAATGAGCTGGGGGAGAGGCTGAGGGAAAGAGAGAGAAGCAGACTCCACACTGAGCACAGACCCCGACTCTGGGCCGGATCTCACAACCCAAGACTACGACCTGAGTCTAAGTCAACTGTCGTAGGCTCGACCAACGGAGTCACCCAGGTGACTTCTGCATTCCTAAAAGAGCCCCCGGTGATGCCGTGCTGCTGGTCTACAGACCACATTTGAGTAGTAAGGACCAGGATACCTGAAAGAAATAGCTTTAGCCTTGAACCGAAAGATAAAAATAAAGGGTTGGGGGGAGGGCAGGAAGCAAGAAAATCTAGAAAGGCCTATGATGAGCCAAATTTAGTAACACAAGACCTAACATTTCGCTATTAACAGTTAGTACCCCATGGTTTCTTTCCCCTACTGAAAAGAGTTGTCATAATATCAAAAGATAATTGAGCTTTGAGAAACAAAAGTAGTGAGAAGTATGCTCAAGAAATATAAGAGAGGGACCCAAGAGAATAATTGTAGTACAAGCCACCTCTTCCCTCAGTAGTTAGTATAAATGTTTAAAAACAAGAGTAAAATCAGCTGGAGCACTTCTTTGATGAGCTGTTTTAGCATCTGCTTTATTAACATTCACTCATTCAGTGCTGGCCTCTAGTTCAAAGGAAAAAAGTACCCTAAAGTACCTAAAACACGTTCTTAAGCCTTCAGCCCTCTGAATTTTTCCTATTCTTAATAAATAAGATATCAAGAGTAGATTCAGGAATTCCTAGCAAAACTGATTTAAAACTTATGCTATTAACTCATCATGAATTCCTGAGCTATAAAAAACCCATCCCCTTCCCAAAAAAAAAAAAAAAAAAACACAAGTACACAAGTCTAAATCAGCACTGTCCAACAGAAGTGTAAGGCAGGGGGCGCCTGGGTGGCTCAGTGGGTTCAAGCCTCTGCCTTCGGCTCAGGTCATGGTCCCGGGGTCCAGGGATCGAGCCCCGCATCGGGCTCTCTGCTCTGCGGGGAGCCTGCTTCCTCCTCTCTCTCTCTCTCTCTCTGCATGCCTCTCTGCCTACTTGTGATCTCTGTCTGTCAAATAAATAAATAAAATCTTAAAAAAAAAAAAGAAGTGTAAGGCAGACCATATATGTAATTTTAAATTTTCTGGTAGCCACACTTTTTAAAACATTCTTTATTTTTGGAAATCTCTCTAAAAACAGATGAGGCTCATTTTAATAATATACCTATTTAAGTCAATATGTGTATTATTTAATATGTAACTTTTTAAATTATTAATACATATTTTAGACCGTTTCATATAAGTCTTTGAAACCCACTAGAAACAACACACATCTATTGTGCTGCTATACAACATCTTAAACAATGCAGTTGATTAAAGTTACAGGCAGTCCTTCCAAAACAAAAGGCATGTCTCATGGAAAAACTTTTATATAGCTTGCCTCTGTTTTGTTTTTTGCTTTTTTTTTACTTAAATAAATTAAAATTAAATAAGATTCTGTTCTTCAGCCACACCAGCCACATCTCAGTGTTCAATACCCATGTGTGGCTAGGGTCACTGTACTGACTCGTGCACATCTCGATCTAACACACATTTACCATGGCATGCTGGGTAATGGGCCAAGGCCTGAGCTCTTACCTTTCAGCAGCTGTTCCTTGAATCACCTCATACACAAAAACCCCAGAACTCACATCAGGGAAATCTGGATCTTGCCTTTTCAGCTCTTGAAGAAGGCTAAGAAAAGTGAGAAAGTTTCCCCAGAAGGTTAAGAAACACAATGAATTCATCACCTGAGCCCTGGTCGAAGCCTCCAACTCAATAGGTCCTCTTGTGTGTTCTACTGAAGGCTCCAGGCAGCCACTGAGGATTCCATCAGGCCGGTCGCAATTATTCTTCCCTGGGGTTGGCCCGGTACTCTACCAAAGCCCAGAGCCACTGGACATTATAAGCTCCATATAGCCACAGTGAAAGAAGCTAGTGAAATGTGCCGCAAATGATTCAGACAGAGGCAGATACCTA